CACAGAAGGGCCCAGCTTCTCTAATGGACATAGAAGTGAGCCGCCGTATATGAGAAAGGACCCTGGAAAGCAGATCCAGCCACACCATCCATGGCAGAAGGCCAGAGGAATGCCGGAGAAGGCAGTGGCAAAGTGAGACTAACAATGACTGTCTTTGCTCACTCCCTCCTCCCCTGGAGAACCATTTCCAGACCTCTGTCAGTTGCCCTCCCACCTCCCTGAGTTAAAAGTGATCTGGAAATGTGGTCAGCAGGGACCACATGAGGCATCAGAACTAATCAGCCATAGAACTTGAGTAAATGTTAGACTTATGCTGCCCCGGCAACATGACAGCCATTTTATAAATCTACTGAAATACTGGAAATGAATTTTTAATGCAGGATGACAAGAGAATAGGCTAACGTCATCTTTCTGGCACTACTCTAAGCCATTCTCGAAAGTGTAGCCAGTTATTTTGCAAAACATAAATTAGCCCATATCCTACCACTGCTGAAAACCCTTCACCTTCCACAGGCCTCAGGACAAGCAATCATGGGTTGGCTAATGGTGCCCTGTAACCTTTTCATTTCAATCCTTACTGCCACCTCTGTTTCCCAACCACAACAATGAAGCTGGATTCTTTAAATAAACCAGACTCTCAACTGAGAGCTAAATATATGCCATTCTCCTTGCTGGAGATGCTATTCCTTCTCCCCTGTCTGGTGGACTAACTCCCGGCCATTCACTGGGTCAGAGGGGCAGTTCTGCCTCCTGGGAAGCCATCCCCCAATGCCAGAGCCAGACGGGGCTTCTTACCTCACCAGAGAGACCTGAACTGCCTCAACAAGAACAATCATCACTCTGTTGCTCAGGGCAGCATCTGCATCTGCTAACTTCCCAGGGAAGATATGTACCAGTCTATTTTATTCTCCTGTGGAGTCCCTAATGTCGTCTATCTCAATGGATACTGGTGCTGTCCAGAAGTGTCCAGCTCTTCTCTCAGCACATGGTAAGTCTGTACCCTCCCCTCCATGAAGTCAGATGTGGCCACGTGGCTTGTAAATATAGAAATCCTTTATAAATACTAAGAAGTAGCTAGTTTCCACATTACCCACCAGATAGTCTAGGGAAATTTTAGGGCTTACAAATGTTTCCTTTTATAATAGTTAATAAAATGTTCTATTTCAATACTCAAGATCTCTAATACATTAAAAGATAGATTTCCCCCAAAGTGCAACTGTCTTGATAAATATGTTTAAACTAAAATTGTGCTTAAACTGGAAAGGTTTAGGACACATTAAATAACAGAAATTTGAAATAAGGCCCTGCTATTAGTGAGCACCCACGTGTCTTTTTGAAAGGATTCCTGTAAGTGAAACAAACTGAAAAAGATGTCAATTTCAGGCAACCCTGGAGTGCGGAGCAATGTATGTGAGCCTCAAGAGCTGAGAACAGACCTTGTGCTGAGGGAGGGGCCCTTCTTTACTAAAAGCACTTTCAGAGATCAGAGAACAGGGTAAGGAAAGGGTAAACCAACATTTTTTAAAATAAGGTAGGCTACATATAAAAAGTAACATCAATAAATGCACTGATATACAACTTCTGACTGATATAAAGATATAAAAATTTATTTTTAAGTAGTAATATAAATAGGAACTTAACTAAAAGTAACTTCTTACTTACAAGTAAGATAGAAATCAAGCTGCTGAATAAAGTACGATTAAGTAAAAGGGCTCTGGTCTTATATATACATCAAATGTTGCATGAAATTTTGTAAAAGTGAGCCCACATTCATAGAACAATCATCTGTAAAAACATACACTGACTGTGACTGTTAATGTGGCTGTTGGTGAGCAGCAGGATTACAGGTGGGGTAGATATTGCTTTTGTTATCAGGAAGATGGGGGGGCAGTGGGGAGATTGAGAGAGAGGATATGAATGAATACATAACAGCTAGAATAGAAAGAGATGGACCAGTTCATTATACACGAGAACAGCATGGACCAACCGCAAAGTATTCTTCCAGGTAGAACATGGAAAACCAACATGAATAAACAAAATCAAACTGCATGCCTCAAAAAGCTCACGATCTAAAGGTAGAGACAAAATACATATAAATGTCCTAACAAGTAAGCACAAGATGGAATTTAAAAAGTGCCATAACACTAATAATAAACAATGTGATAAGGGCAAGAAAGAGAAATTGAGTCTAGCTGATCAGAGGCAGGGAGGCTGAGACAGAGATGCTCTCTCATAGGGTTTGAAGGATAGAGAATTTGGAAGGCAAGAAAGGAAAACAAAAGACTATGTAAATTAAGCACCTATTTCGTGCCAGGTACTGAGGTGTAATTCCACCATCTAATTCAACCAGCCCTCACATCTATCCTATAAGGAATGGATTTTTGTCCCTGCTTTGCCAACCAGGATGTTGGAACTTGGGGAAGCTGCCTTCTGTTCAGAGTTAAGCAGCAGCAGCAGCAGCAGGATGTAAATCAAGAAATGTGAGTCTCATGAATCTGCCAACTCCCCTTCTAGGTAAAGAAAGAGCACTGACGCTATGGGCTAAGAAAAAAATGTACAAAATCACAGAAGAAGGAAACTGGAATTTATTGAAGGCCCTCCATGAAGTTTCTATAAATGTTTTTCATGTATAATTTTAATTTTCCTTTGAAATGACCATTATCATATTTGTTCAACAATAAGAAAAATAAGGTTTAGATAGGTCCAACATGCGGCTAAATATTAGTTAATAAATAGAAGTTTAAGGCCAGGACTGAGTCCTGTCAGACATGCTTCTTGACCTGCACTATTTCATTTAATTTCTCCAGACAATTCCCTAAACCAAGTATTACGCTTTTCTAATTTTACAGATATGAAAACGAAATATCAAAGTCAGTAACTTCCCCCAAAGTCCCAGAGCTGGGAAGTGGTGGAGCCAAAGTAACCCAGATCGACTTTGGAAGCAGAGCTCTGACTGTTGGACACACTGCCAGAAAAACAGCACAGGGGCACCCAGCCATGGACAATCAAGGGTATGAAAGCCAGGATCTGTCAGCCATGCCAACTCATTAAAGGCTTTTTCTGTGGAAAACATGATCAAGTAATGCTTTAGGAGTAACGTCCTTCAACAGACATATCCAAATTAGTTCTTGGTGCATAAAGTTTAATGCATCTTTTCAGATACGGTCCACCATTGTCTTGACTAGAATTAATTTACCCAAGAAGGTCAGGTATGTATTCAGCAAGCATTCAGCCATCACGACCCTACCACATATCCAGTCCAAGAAAATGCTGTAATACTCTGCTTAGCAAAAGATACATCAGATTGATCGATCCATTACTATATCATTACCAACTTCTATTCCCAGTGGAGTGGAGACTGCAAGGTGAGTGCCTGATCGTTGAACCTGCTTTCTCAAAGCTAAAACAGGAAGGGAAGAGAGACAAAGACCCATTACTGGAATACATTTGCTCTTGACATTTTGTTTGGCCCTTTGGTTAGCAAGTACAGTATCTTATACCAAGCAGGGTCCTCAAACTAAGCAGCCAGGAGGCCTAGCTTGGGCACCTACGAGACAGTTCAACATTCTCCAGCCAAGGGCACAGTCTGACTCATCCTGACTTCGGGTATCAATTTTCAATGAGTCAGGAGCCCTTGAAGTCCTTCCTACCTCTTTTCCTTCCAGTGGGCCCCGGGTCCCCTGCACATCCTCGGTCCGCAATTCCTGAAACCCTTCCAGCCTCCCCCTCACCGAGGTCTGTACTTCCTCCCCCTTCCCTCCTCTCCCTCCTCCTCCACCCCTGAGCCCCAGACTCACCAGGTGCAGGGCCAAGGGCAGCAGCAGCAGGAACAGCCACAGATAGAGGTGGCAGCTGTTAGTGAACTTGCTCTGCTCGGGGTCGTGGTACCAGCCGCCGGTGAGCGCGGCCCACACGCCCTGGCGGAGCAGCTGC